ATTTTGTCTTGAGGGAATATTTTCTCTTACTTTACAAAACTTGCTATTACCCTTTTTACACATTTTCCACTGTGATAAGTAAAAAAATTTAAAAATGTTATAACTGTCAATAAAGTTAGAAGTTCTGATTGCATAAATCTACTGCAGGTCAATTTGTGATACCCTTGCAACTGTAACACATTCAGAGCATATAATTGAGTCCACTTCCAAAGAATGTTCACAGCAAAAAATAGAATTCCCAAATTAGCCATCTGGTAGACACCCTATTGAACTCAAGAGATGGAAATCACCTTTAAAAGGCAGGCTTTTGATACCCTACAACAGGCTATATTTTGACTCTGCTGCCAAGAGTAGGCTTTTGTCTTCAATTAACCTAAAGGAGCAGAGGTGAACAAGATTCTGACCAAATACAGACTCCTGAAGACTTCCAGAATTCTCTCATCGTCTTCACTACAGAAGGCACGAACTGCTGATGTGGCACAGGTATCTCCTATCCAACTAAAGTAGTTACCAATTATTTTCCATAGTGCTTCAAATCAATACAAATGCAATCATCATGACAATTTAGAAACAAAGCTCCCTTTCCTCACATTACTGATGTTGTGGTCAACACTGGTAGTTTAACCTGAAGGCCAACTGCTCTCCCAAGCTGGTCATCAGAAGTATTACTGACATTTCTGACAGTACAGAGTACCTCCTACACCACAGCTCATTAGCATCCTGGCCCCACCCATTCAACACTCCCAGCCACAGTGACAAGCAAAAACAACCTTCCCCAGGTTTCTAAATTCCCACTTGAAGAGAGGGGAGGGTATCGCCCATAGCTGAAAGTCACTAACAAGTGTTTTAATGCTCCAGTCACCAAACAGTCACTCCACACCTGAACTAAATAAAGGGGACACAAAGATGAAGACACAGTCCCTGCCCTTGGGCCTAGTAATCCTGTCTCACCTTCTTTCCATCAATGACACTGTATTTGGTCAAAGTAATAGCCAAAAGAAATACACCTGAAATGGGCCACACTGTCACCCATTCTAGAACAGAGTAAGGAACAGCCTAATTGCCTCACATATTCAAATATGTTTTGAAGGAGCAGAGTTCAGAAGGGTGGTGGACAAGATGGTACCACAAAGGGAACCAGAGCTTGAGTCCATTAGAGAGAACTAAGTTCAAATGTCACCTCTCATCTCTCATGATTCTGGGTAAATCACTCTCCACTGGGAGTGGTACCACTCTCCCTCCCACCAACTGGGTGGAGGAGTTTTCAGTTATCCCAATGACCAGAGGATGCTACTTGGCAATTAGTGAGGAGAATCATGGATACCAAACATCCTGCAAAGGACAAAAGAGTTCAGTTCAAAGAACTGTTCCACTCAAAACACCCATCACTGAGCACTCTCCCAAATTTAGTGTCTTCAGTTGTCAGACGGTAATAAGTGGATCAACCACACGGTGTGAGGTTTAAATGATATGTTGCAAGTAAAAGTACCCACCCCGAGTAAGTGCACACTCAGCCCTTGATAAATACTGTTCTCATCTTCCCATCTCTCTTCAGTTACAAACATTGCACAGAGCTCATTTTAAACAGGTCCATCATGCATGATACAGCCAAGAAACAAAGTTGAGCAATCATTTTCTCAAAGCAGATAAAATAAGGCAGGAATTCCTCCAAGTTTCATAACTCAGCAATATCTGTATAATAGGTTTTTGCAGAAATTCTCTGAACTTTAAATCTAGAGTCAAACCCTTTGTCTAGAGACCTTTATGACCCAGTTCCAACCTGACTTTCTCACTGCTCCTCCCACTCTGTCTCCTTAATGTATATAGCCCCTAACAGATCATAAACCTCCAGCAGGCCTTTGCTGAGTCTGGAATACCTGTTTCCTATTCTCTCTCTTCCTAAGTTCTCTTTGTATAGAAACATCACCGATTCTTTGAAGACCCAGTTAAAACCACCTCTACCACGAAGCCCTCCCTGGTCTCCCCTATCACTCTAGTGAGTCCATTCCTTGTACACTCATACACTGGGCTTAACACGGCAACAGTGTTTCTCAAACTGGGATCCACAGAACTCTGGGAGTTCTTGAGTTTTCTATGAAAACTCCAGTTGCAGTTTTCCTTTTCATATCATCTAAAATAAATTAATATAAGCATTTCCTGGAAATGGTCAGCCACCTAATGTAAGTATTATGAAGCAATTTGAGTGCCCACACCTAAGTTGGGATATACAATAGTGTTGATGCTAATAGGCCTTCTTTAATTGTGAAAGATTGAGATCATAACAGCAACAAAGAATACATAATGAGGTGTTCTCACCAAGTGAAGCCCGTATAACTCACAGCATACCATAAACACAAAGATTTTCCTATCGTTTAAAACAGCAAAACATTGGAAGACCTGTATAAAGGCCTAGCAACTCCCCAAAGACCTGGTGTTTGTCCCAACATGTATTTGTGAGTAGCCAAAAAACCACTGTCAGGATGTTCTAAATTTGACTTTTACAGGTTTCGTAATTATGCTTTAGCTTATTTTTAAATTTTGTTCTTAAGAAACTCTTAAGGAATTCCATTTTTAAGGAACTTATGTCTTGTTTTATATTTGTACAGAAGTTACATTAAAAATTTTATGTAAATCAACACTGGGATGCAAAAAGGAGACTTCAAAACACAGGTTTTAGAGAATGCATTTCATTTCAAATACATGGAAAAGCCAGGATGCAGACAAGTCATGTTTATTATATGTTCAGAGTTGCAGGCACATCTGATACATGTTCACTGACTGAAAAGTAGTTATGTAACTTTCAGTACGTTTCCTTAACCCTGTTTTTTTAACAGTAAGATGGGGATGTTGAGAATATAGGTTTGATCACAGATCATGTTTAATAATATTATTCCAAATACTTTGTAAACTGTAAAGTCCCAGACATATGGCAGGGATTCATATGAATGTTTTCAAGTGGCCTTCTTGGCTTCCTACAGCTCCTAGAGGTAGGAGCTTTCCTCACTCCTCATGTCTCTGCCACACCAACCCCATTTGTCTGCTGCACTCACTCATCTTCATCTAAAATCACCACTACAGGAGGTAAACCCAGCTCTCATAATGACAAGTTTTTATGCTCACAAAGAGAGTCAAAATACCCTTTCATTTTGAAATAAGATCACAGTGACAAATTGCAATTCTGTTTTCAATCTTGTTAACATCAGGGTGTGTGTTACTGGGACATTCAGTTCTACAAAGCGTTTCCATTTGTGTCATTAAACTTTCAATAAAGGCTTTGTGCTTGTTTATGCCCTGAAATGAAAGATTTAAGCTCACTGAAAACAGTAAAACACCCACACAAAGGATTATCTGCTACCCTCCTAACATCTGGCAAGTTCCAAAAAAGATGAGAACAAAATTAGTGTTGATACAAGCACAATTAAAATTTTCATTGTTGAAAAGCCACAGTTTGTGCCAATCCGGAGAGGATGAGAATAGAGAAGTGGTAGGTGGACACGGAACTAGCTGCTGGAGTGGTCAGTAAAGAATTCGAAGTGCCTTAAAAAGCCAAAATAGGGCAGAGAGGCAAGCAAGATTTCAGGCCATTAACGACAGGACCCTGAAATTGACCTGCTTACTCCTTTCTGACACTGATATCTCAAGTTCTCAATTTTGCTGCCTTCTTGGGATTTCCTTGCAAACTGCGTTCGTATTATGCAAGACTTGTTAGTGTTGTTACCGTGGTGGCAGGCACCACAGGCTGTCTGCCCACACCGGCAGAACTAGCTGACACCCTGGATGAGATCTGTCAGACTTCAAAACTATTTTTAACTACAGTGTAACTTTGAATGTTAAACTCTCAACCGTCAGAGCAATAATAGCTGAAACATCCCAGGAGAATAACCACTCAATTATCGTAGGAGCTTTCTTGGAAATATGTGGTATGTTATTAACAGAAGGTCATCATGAAAATGTTTCACAAGCGGGGAAATTGAGGAACACACAAACAACTAAAATCACATCACAAAATCTGAGCACTAATGGAACTGGCTGACTCTCAGTTCTGTTTCCTATCCATTTTTTTTTCAGCCCACCAGGAACTCTTGAGTCCGAAGTAAACATGGCTTTTGGAGTGTGTCCTTCCAATGACAATGGTCATTCTACTGCAATCTGGGGGAGGAGATAATGTAAGCCTCTCATAAGTTTAAGAAAGCGAGCCGCATTTCACTTAACCGCTCTTTTTCCTTCATGGGGGATGAAAAGACTCAGAAATAGGCATTTAAATGCGGCATGTCTAAAAATGTTTGATTTTTGAACCTGGGAAACTGAAGGAAAGATAAACATATTACAGAGAAAGGGCACCCTTTGATTACTGAAACCAAGACAGCTGGAAACCTGAGTTCTAGAATCTGTTTGGGAACTTGAGGCAGATGTTTCCAGGAGAGGCGAGAGCCAAAGAAGGGTGGCGTCATTTACATGCCCAGTCCACTTTGGTGACAGTCTTGGGAACTCATTCTCACAACTCCTTTTAAAAATCATTTTGAGAAAATTTAAATAAGATGGTAAAATACCAGCTGAAGGGGAGACGCCCCAAAGCTTTGCCTTTTCCACTTCTGCCCCATCTCCTCCCAAGCAGCGGCGCTGGGTTCGCGCCCCCGCTGCCCCGGCTGACGGCTCCGCGCTCCAAGCGTTTCCCATTACCGCAGGCGGGACGCCGGGGAGTCGCTTCTGCCACAGAACTTGGAGAGCGGGGAGCGTGTGTGGAACTGGAACCCCCTCGCGTCCGGGGAGGGGACGGTGGGAAAGGAAGAGCGCGGGCGAGGCGGGGACCGGCCGCCGGGCAGAGCTTCACCCGGCTTTGACCTGCAGAGCAGAGGCGAGGACGCGGCACGGGAACTGGGCGGGGAGCAGGGAGCCTGAGCAATGGAGGAAGGAGAACAGAAAGTGGCGCGGGGCCGCCGCCTGGCCGGGAGCCCCGGGCCCGCGTCCGCGCTGGCCCCCAACCCCTCCGCGACTCCCACCTGGCAGCCGGCCGGCCGGGAGCGGGAGGCTGGCCGGCCCCCGGCCTCTCGTCCTCTTCCTCTTCCTTGTCCCGGGAAGGGCTTCGGTGAGCGAAGAACCGGGAGAAGCTGTGCCAGGGGGCGCCGCCCCTCCTCCGGCCGCCGGACATTTCCCGAGGGGGCGCCGGCCCGGGCCGTCGGCTGGGAACGGCCTGCGTGGGGCCCGGGGCCCGGGGCCCGGCCGGGCGCCGCGGGATGCGCGAGGCAGAGCGAGTCGGCTCCGTCCCTCCGGGGCAGGGGGAGCGCGGGCGCGACGCGGTCCCGGCGCTGCAGCTCCTCGCGCCGCGGCGGCCGCTCCTCCCCCGCGCGCCCGCCCCGCCCCGCCCCCAGGAGGAGCCGGAGGCCGCGGCCCCGCCCTGAGCCCTGAGCCCTGAGCCGGGAGCTGCCGCCGCCGCCGGGCGCCAGGGGCTCCCCGAAGGCGCTGAGGGGGTCGCGCCGCGCGCCGCGCTGGGCTCGGGCCTCCGGCCCCGGCGAGCTCGCGCCGCAGGCTGGTGCGCTTCGCCTTCGATCACTTCGTTGGCGCTGCGTTTTCCATCCGACAGTCAGAGCGCAGCAACGGCTTTCAGACTCTGGAAGAGGTTGACGTGAACTAAAGTTCCTGAAGACACGTGGCAGACGGCGGGGCCGGGCGCCCCGGCCTGCGGGAGCGGAGGACCAGCCACCGCGAGGGCAGCTCCCCCGGCCCCGGCCCCGGCCCCGGCGCGGGAGGGGGACCCGCCGGGCGTCGCCAGCGCCCCGCGCCCCCCGCGGCCGTCCTCGGCGTGACTTCCCCCAGCCGCGGGGCTTCAGGCCTCACCCACGCTGCGGACTTCTCCGCGGACCCTTTCAAGAACGGCCCTGACGGAAAAGTAGGCTTTCAAGCTTGTGGATGCTGAAACGCACTTTGCAGTCGTTACACAGATGCCACTGAAATCTGGAAACCAAAGTGTCCTTACGTCTTAAGTCTAAGTACAACACTATGGATTTTTCTTAGTTTTGGATACCCTAGCAGCTAGTACAGCAGATACTGAGAGGCCCCATCACCCCAGGTGTGTTGATGTTTGAAGGCGAGCCGCCCCTGGGGTGCACATCAAGGAAGTGATACGGCGTTTGTTCATTAATAAATGTATACAAGTACATGAGATAAAAATGAAATGTCCGCAGGAGAGGGGAACCTCCTTGGAGCAGTCTCCCCTCTGGCTCCTGGAAGACAAGGCTGCGCAGGAGTAGGCTGCCAATCTATAAGCCTCCAGTTCTTTCCACACCTGCTGGAGGCTACTGAGCCTCCCTGCCACCCCAGGTTGCCTCCGGGAAGCCCTCCAGGTCCTACTGACTGCAGCAGAGCCCAGGCACTCACTCTCCTTTGTTCTGGCAGGATTTAACCCATTAAAGTTCACTAAGCCCGGTTTCCATCAATCAGGTTCATCTCACACTATCCCTCTAGATTAAGCCGTTTTTACTCGTCGGTAAATCGTTCCCACTTCTCTGTGACTGTAGTCTGAGAAAATAGAAAAAGACTAAGATAATACACTAGAATAAGACAAGTAAAGTTCCCAATTCTAGCTTTATTATTTTAGGGGAGAATCTCCATTGAAGACTCACTTACCAAAAAGCCCAAAGAGAATAATAAAGAAAACGGTTTCTTCCAGCTAGAGGGCCCAAATGATAACTTGTCTTCCCATAGTATTATTAAATGACTGTCCTATGTGTCCTTCACTTGTACTGTGATCAAACCAGGCCCCAGTGCCTACCCAGAGGGTATATCGTTCAGGAAGTTTTTCTTGGGGCAAAAATGGGTGGAAGCCAGTAGGATTTAATTAATGAATTATGGTTTTAACTAATAATATATCTAACAATATTCTGATCTCGGTGGCAGAACAAAGCACTTAAATGAATGTTAAATACAAATAGAACCATGCCTAGATTAAGGCAAACTGCACCTATGAAAAAATAGCTTAAAGCCATAAAACAATGGCCATTGATTTTTCCTTCACTTGCTTTCTGAGCACTTACTAGTTTTCTGTATGTTCTACAAAAGTATACATTTCAATGTGGTTAAGTAAAGACCACAATCTCTTTCCATGTAGATTTTTCCACTGAGATTTTCTTTTCCACTGAAGAGTTATCGAGAGCATCTGGGAATCTGCTGGAGAATTTCACTTGGGAATATATTTAGTTTGGACTTAGTGGGATATATGGGGTATGTTTATGTGGTTTTCAGCCTCTCCTAAGTATAGTTATTTCTTAAACTCCAATTTGTCCATAGTGCAGCTCATTAAGTATTATACCCAAGATGCAGAGCCAGAGGACATACATTCTATGGTCTCTGACATTGAAAATATGTGGGTAATAGAGGTGAGATAAGATTTGAAAGATACAGCAGCATTAAGTGGCGTGTGGAAAATTATTCCAGGCATCAGAAGACAAAATTTCAACAGGAAGAATTACCTCCAATTGATATAATTTCTGTCATAGTAATAATATGTTCTATAATATAGTATGTATAACTTTTTTTTGGAGATAGACTCTCGATCTGTTGCCCAGGCTGGAGTACAGTGGCGCCATGTTGGCTCACTGCAACCTCCACCTCCTGGGTTCAAGCAATTCTCCTGTCTTAGCCTCCTGAGTAGCTGGGATTACAGGCACCAATTCCACTCCCCGCTAATTTCTGTATTTTTAGTAGAGATGGAGTTTCACCATATTGGTCAGGCTGGTCTTGAACTCCTGACCTTAGGTGACCCACCTGCCTCAGCCTCCCAAAATAATTTTTATAACTGTAAACACATAATTTTTTTCTTTTTGCTATAAGCCACATAAAATTGCATTTATCAGAATTCTTGTTTTTGGGATACAAACCTGTAGCAGTACCACAAGCTGTGTGTGTGTGTGTGTGTGTGGTGTAGTGTTGCATGTTTATGCAGCCCTTCTATCAATAAATCAGAGCAACAGAACTAGAGGAAGTATTACATTATCTTTTCATTATTATAGAAAATAATGTTATTAAATTATTGTCATATGAAAGTCTATTGAAGGCTGCACTACCAAAACTATAGGAAAAAAGTGATATAGAGTTGTGCAAGGCATTTAGTAAGAAAACTACATTCCTTTTCTAGTCAACCTTTTAAAATTGGTAATTTGTGTGGTTTATGTTTTCATTCAATATCATCTTCATCTTTGTATCTAATTTTCTTATTTTTAAATCCTTTTTCTTTAAAGAGGATACTCCAAATTGTAAAAACTTCAAATCCCACAAAATCTGGATCTATCCTCTGGTGCGTACTATGTGTCAGATACATGCTAATTCTTAGAGATACAGTGATAGATAAGACCAAATGCTTGACATCAAGGAGTATGTTTAATTCGGCAAGGTGAGCAAATATGGTAACATGGGAAATGTAGGATGGATACTCAGCTTAGTCTGAAGGGTTCCTGGAAAGCTCACTAGAGGAGATAACTGGCAATATACTCTCTTCTTCTCTGCCTCCTTTTATCACCTGATTTCTACCTATAATACTTTCCATATATTATTATATTAAAATACTATAATTACAGTATTATAATGCAAGTTGTAAAACAAGTATTATAATGCAAGTTATTTTCAATATAATTGAAATTTTCTAGAACTTGTATAATACTTGTACAACATATTATAATTAATACTTGTATTATAACTTGTAGTATAAAACTATAATTCAATAACTTGTGTGATACATGAGAAATCCTGAAGTTCATCATACTGTAACTGAATTGCCGTTCCCACAACGTAAGTACCGTTCCCAAAGATATGAGAATAGAATAAAAGTGTTGATCCTTGAAGCATTTAAACTGCAAGAGTAGTTTAGTAATGCTAAGCTTTTTTGTTCTGAAAAGGCCACTGGGGGATAAACTTCTGTATATATCTTGGAGCACAGTATTTACTGTGTGGCAGGTGGCCCAGGAATATTAAGACAGCTGTCAACATCAAGGAAAGCACCAGCCCATGAAAAAAGCAAGCAGATGGATTGGGGCACTTCACTAGCTGCCTCGTGGAATAATAGCTGTGCGTGGCCAGATGAGCCAGTGTCTGCTGCCCAGGGCAGCAAAAAGCTGTTACTGAATATAAGCACTCAATTAGGAGGTGGGGTGGGGGAATATCCTCTCTTTTCCTTTGTTTGTATGCTCAGATTTTCATTAAGGACCCTCACAACAAATAAAAAAAGGGGGGAAATGATGTTAGCATTTATCATTGTTACTTTCTAATTATCATGGTTTGTGACATGGGGAGATGACTGTCTTGCTGCTTCAATGAGAACAGATGGTAAAATTTTTAAGTAATTGGTTATTCCTATTTCTATGAGATGCACGATGTTTTATTGCATTGTTTGTCTAGTTTTTGTTTGCAGAACATGTGGAGATGGAGATCTTTCAAACACACATCTTTTAATGCTTAAATTAAGTAAAATGTATTAGTCTGACCTAAATTACATTTACACTTTTCTCCGTTTGACGATACTTCAAAGAGAAATTAGCTCTTTACAAAAATGTAACATTAATATTAAAAATTAAATATATAGCTTTCAAGCAGCACAAAATTTGCTAATATTGAAAACTGTACTCTTAAAAATGTATAAATAGGAGTGGCATGTCTTTGACAAACATTGATTATAACATGTATTCTAAAATAGTTGTTTACACCAATTCAGTGTGACCTGTCTTTTATCTAAGTCAAATGCTATCTAAAATATAAGGTCATATGTAAGACATTTTTATTAATGGAGCTTCATAAGCGTGACATAGATAATGGCTTAGAATAATAACTTACTATTAGATGAGAAATTCATCCTCTATATTCTATTTTCCCAAAATATTTCATCTGACTTCATAAACTCTGCACTGTAATATGCACTTCTGATATACAATTTTAAGAGTATCTACTCCATAAAGAACAAGTATTTATAAATTTCTGGATTGCATTATATTGGTGTTAATTGTACATTTGTTTCTTGGGGCTGTATGAAACAAAGATTTGGAGCAAAACAAACAAAAACCAAAAACAAAATTGCTGTGAATTGACTTCCTTTTTATCTTATTCTGATGATTCATAGTTTACATGTTCCAGACACTAGAGCTTTCTTATTATGAACACTTTGTTTCCAGTTTGATTTCTTGCAAATGGTTTAAATACAAGGCATAGAGGCAGCTGCTATTGTGAGCAAATGTTTTGTTTGGGGAGAAAGCAGCTGGAAATGCTACATGCTGTCATATAAAATGAACCAATTTACACATGGGAA